CTCTCTCTCTCTCTCTCTCTCTCTCTCTCTCTCTCTCTCTCTCTCTCCCCCACCCCCTACCCCCTACCCCCTACCGGCTCGTTTTTCTCCCTTCGTTTCTCCATTGCCTCCCTCCCACATATTCCGATTCCATCTGTCAACTTGCGCGCCCTCCATCTCCCCTCTCCCCATCTTCCCCCACGAATCCGCTTTCCCCCCTCCTCTTCTCTCCTTGTCGTGTGTCTGTCGCCTCTCTCTTCTCGTCTTTTTCCACCCCTTTCTCTCCTCCGATGGGATCCTTTTGAAACTTTCTCGTGCAATACTTGAAGTGGCCCCTGCGGATCCCGTATATCCTTTCCTCTCGTCCTGTCTGTTGCTGTCTCTCTCTTCATTGCTCTCCTCCATCACCTCCATATCCTACTCCCTCTCTCTCCCTCATGATTCAGGCCCTTCGTCATTATCCTGCTCTCTCCTTTCCTTACCTGTTCCCCTCCCTCTGCGCTGAGCCCTTCTTCCTGCCTTCAAACCTACCCCTCTTCTTCCACAGCTTGCCCGGATACCCCTCCACAACCTCCATCCCTTACCCAGTCTCCTTGGCATTCTTTCTCCTGCACTTCATCGGTTCATTCTCACACTGTTTGGCTGACATCCCGACCTTCTCCTCCTCTTCTGATCGACCCACTCCCTCCTCCCCATCCAAATCCGCGCTGCGCATCCCCTTCTTCACAAATTAGGTCCTCAACCTACATCATACTCCTCCCATTTCGTTTGGGCCAAGTGCGAACGCAGGGAGGGGGAGAGAGAGAGAGAGAGAGAGAGAGGGTGAGAAAGAGATCTATTTCGTTTTTGGGCGAATGTGAACGAAGGAAGGGAAAGAGGAGAGAGAGGAGAGAGAGGACAGGGAGGGTGCACTTTACCAGGCCGCACGAACCCACCTATTTCGTTTTTGGGCCGAGTATGAACGGAACCCTCCACGTTTCCACGCACAACACCGCCGAGAGAGAGAGAGAGAGAGAGAGAGAGAGAGAGAGAGAGAGTACACTTCCCCACAGCCCTTCGCACGCAACTCGTACTCTGCTCCCCGAACCTGCCTATTTCGTTTTGAGGAGCGGTGACACCGCCGAGTCTGGGCTGCGCGAAAACGGGTGTGCCAAAGTACACGCTCTCTCTGGGCGCTGTGTAGCATGGAAAATGCCGACGGCGATCGTTCCCTTTCTTGGAAGCGCCACGCGCGGTGTGAAGTATATGCGCAATTTTAGTCTTCAAAAAAAAAACAAAAAAAAAAAGAGTCTTCACTGGCGCCGGCAGTGAAGACTCCATGATCCATATAACAGGGGACAAGTGTAGATATTGCATGGGGGCATACTCTCACCAGAACTTTCATGGATATATCTGACCGATTTTACGGCCAGATCTGGGTGCACCTGGCCGCAATTACGTCCAAAAACAAGTTGAAAAATTAACACTGAGTATGCCCGATTGTTCATCGTTGCACTTCCATTAAAGTAGGAGATATGGTGGAGGGAAGAGAGAGTGAAGAAAAGACAGACAGACAGACACAGAGACACAGACACAGAGAGAGAGAGAGAGAGAGAGAGAGAGAGAGAGAGAGAGAGAGAGAGAGAGAGAGATGTGATGAGCAGGGTGTTGTGATGATCAAACACAAACTGTTCTTGGATGTTTTTTTTTTTGTTTTTTTGTTTTTTTTTATGTTGTTTTGCATTTGCATAATAGCTAGAACACTTGAGTATTCCTGTGATTGCACGCGATTTCTTCCTGTAGCGAGAACACTACAGAATTGAGGAGGAGGCGGTCCGTATGAGTGATTAAGGCATTCTTAGCATCCCCAGAACTGGCCTTTTGAAAGTAAGAAAACAGACAAAGAAAAAAAAAAGAAAGGGAAATTAAAAAACAAAAAAACAAAAAAGAACTGGCCTTTAGATATTCCATCACGGGATTCCCGTGAAGCGTATTACCTTCCGCATCCCGAACTCCATTCTCTGCACGCAGACTAGTTTGTTTTTATTGTCAAACAGGAAAAACAAAGAGGCAGGGGAAGAGTAGAAAAGGGGACCCCTGCAAGCAGGAGTAGGGAGGGAGGGAGGGAGGGAAGGAGGGAGGGGGAGAGGGAGGGGGAGGGAAGACAAGGCAGCGAAGAGGGGCAACCACAAAAAGGGAACGAGAAAGAGGAGGATGACAAAGGAATGAAGAGAGGAGGAAGGGCACGGGGGAAAGACAAACAGGAAGAGGAAGGGCACGGGGGAAAGACGAACAGGAAGAGGAAGGGCACGGGGGGAAGCCACCCCTACCTTTAGATACGAAGGATGATTACCGGTCGTCGGTCGATAGTCAAAAATTTGCCCCGGGAGAGAGGAAGGAGGGGAAATCAGCGGATAGGGACGGTCTTCGCCTTCGACCGCTCTTTTAGCAAACCCGCGGCCGGCGTGGAAACCAGCAGAAAAACCGCCGATCGCCGGGAGTGCCGAGAATGGGCCTCGATGCACTACTCTCCGCATGCACAATGGAACGTCAAGTTATTATACCAGTATTTCGTGCAATTTCCAGTCCAGATACCGTTATAATGACCAGACGTTGTATTCGGATGAAGACAGTAGTCCAGTTGGTACTGCCACTTTTTTTTTCTAGCAGGTAGAGAGAGTCTACACGAGTCATAGCCATATCTCGACTGAAAATTGCACTAAATACTATTGGTTGTAAATAGCTAGGCTACCAGAGTGGCCCGGGTCCACTTGCCCGGCCGGGCAAAAAAAAAATAAAAAAATAAAAATTATTTCTGTTTTAATTTTATTTTAAATTTGGTAAAGAATTTCGATGTGACCCTCTCTACCCGGCCGGGCAAAAGTTGGTCCACTTGCCCGGCCGGGAAAAAGTTGTTCAGTTTATTTTTCCGCATAACATAGTTTTTTTTCGGATTTTTTTGGAGTTTTTTCTTTTTCTTTTTTTTTGGGCTGTGACCTTCTTTGGTCCCAGCACGGCCGGGCCGCCCGGGGAAATAGGCTGACCCGGGCTGCCCGGCTGGTAGACTAGGTAAATAGTAAATACTGATTCTACTGATATCCTACCGGCAGGGCAACACCACGAACAACCGATCACCTCTTCCTCACTCCATCTACTACTTCCCCCGGGGGGCTGGTTCCATCAGCAAAGAGGATTAGATTTAATTCGGGAATCTGGATGTGTTTGGCGCACAGATGCAGAAAAGCTGATCAATGTCAATTTTCTGCATGTTTCCACAAACATGTCCAGGGGCTAGGTCCCACTTGCACGAATTAAGAGATACTGACCGTAGATAGCAAAGATCAACGGCCGCAATCTCCTAATTTGTGCAAGTGGGACCTTGCCCCAGATTCAGGAATTAAATCCAATCCTCTTTGCTAATGGGACCAGGCCCCAGGAGCGAGATCCCACTAGCCATGCATGTGGATCAGTGTGACGGTGTGGGACGGGTGGGGGACAGGTGGGTAGCAGAGTGAAATAGGGAAAATAAACGCAAGAAAACATTTTCTTTATTGGGAATTCTTCCCTTCTACATTCTTCTCTCAACTTCTGTTTTGCCTTTCACTACCTACCTACTCCATGGCCAAACAAATGAAGAAAAAACTGCTAAAAAAGAAAGTGCTCTTCTCACAGATGGTGTCTGCTCCAGGCGAGGGTGTCAGATGTCAGGGTATGATTCACTGACCATGGCTGTGGCAGTCAAGACGACTGCATGTGAGTGGGCACACGGACCACATTCATTGACAATAGTCTGAGGCTTCCTTGAAATAGGCCGCAGTGCAGGCTGTTCGGTTGTTCGGACTGAAATTCTCTTTGGCAAAGGAGGACAAGAGTATCTCCATACACCATTTGCTGTAGGTGAGGGGGTCGAACCCTCGCGAACACCTCCCAAACCACAATCAATTTCCAGGGGTGAAGACATTCGTCGTTGTCTTCGCCGTGAATGAAAAGTGCGTGATTCCGTGAACCAAAAAAATTGGTCTCGATTTCACGCACGTTTGGGACAGCCACAGGACCCCCACAGCAAAAACGAAAGAAAAGCCTACCAATGGGAGAGCAAAAAAAAACATCCTTTTCCCAGGCTTAATTCACAAAAACAGGCTACCGCTGATTTCCTGCCAAATCCACGATGCCTGACAGCCACACACCTTAAACACTAATCCACATACATTCCACATACATGGGTAGTGGGATCTGGCTCCCGGTTTTCTAAAATTAAGCCTGCCAGAAAGGATTTTTTTTTTGTTTTTTTGATAAACCATGCATGATTCTCATTTGAAACAATACCAAACAATGGTAGCTACCCAAGAGCCTAGCTCCATGGGTACACCCATGAACTGTTGAAAATGCAGACCGGTGTTCGATTCCAAAACCAACTACTAATGAATTGCTTGGAGCCAGTCAGCTCAATGATAATATCTCAAGGCCGTCACCCTTTTTTTTTTTTTTTTTTTTTTTAAATCAATGATAGCTCAACATTGAAAAAACAATATTTATTTATAGGATTTATTCCAAGTGCTACCTTGATTCATGTGTTGATCCTGATAGCAGAGTACGCTGTGTTAGGCAAATTGCTGGTTTGCACGTTGTCTTTTTGCGGACTGGCGTCGGGCATGGCTCTAGACGATCTACTTGTGAGTGTCTTTTTGCGGACTGGCGTCGGGCATGGCTCAGCTATCAAGTCCGAGGCTCGGACTACCGGTAGCCCGATCATTCACGAGCCTCGGACTTTTTTGCCGAGCCTCGGACAACCGGTAGTACATCACGGGAAAATAAAAAAAGTAAAAAAACCCAAAAAAATACAACATTCAGCAAAAATAAATAAAAATAAAAATAAAATAAAAATCAGACATGCCCAATGAGAAGAATCTTCCTCAATAAGAGGAAGATTCATTCTTGAGGTTCACTTAGAGAGAGAGAGAGAGAGAGAGAGAGAGAGAGAGAGAGAGAGAGAGAGGGAGAGAGAGAGAGAGCGCATCAGAGAGTATGACACAGAGTTTGGTGCGCCAAACTCGGCGTCGGACACTGCGCACCCTCCCCCCCCCCCAGGAACTCTCGAAATGTGCAAAATGAGAATGAACTTAGGCAGATGCACCCACGTTTCCTTTTTTGTTCAATCTCTCTCTCTCTCTCTCTCTCTCTCTCTCTCTCTCTCTCTCTCTCTCTCTCTCTCTCTCTCT